TTGTTTCCTACTATGGCTCCTGTCCCTATGAGGTCATTTATATGTATTCCTTCCTGCGTATAATTCCCGACTACCTGGACAAAATCTCCAGCTTCACCATTACTGTCTCCCAGGACAGCATCTCCAGCTTCACCATTACTGTCTCCCAGGACAGCACCTCCAGCTTCACCATTACTGTCTCCGGGACAGCACTCCACTTCCCATTACTGTTCCCAGGACAGCACCTCCAGCTTCACCATTACTGTCTCCCAGGACAGCACTATCAGCCCCACATTTACTGACTACCAGGACATCATCTCCAGCCTTACAGTTTCTGACTACATGGCCAGTATCAAGGGCAGTACCAATCAGCCCAGACTTTTTATGTTCCCATCTGTTGTAGAAAGCTTCCAGGTTTTCTATGAAAGCAGCTTTGATGTTGACCTCTTTTAATACCCTTGTGATTTTAGTCCACAGATTTATCTCATTTGGGCATACCCAAAAACACTTCCCTGTTTTAATACTGCTTGTAGCTATTTCTTGGATATCTGCACAAGGGGCGTGACACCAATTTCCACAAAAATGACAATTTATGCATGTGGAAGCCCGTTTGTTTGACTGACCACAGACTACACACAGCTTCATAATGATTTGAATGGTTGATTTACTGCAATTCTACTAGCAACCTCTTGAATATTCTATTAATAACCTCCTTAAATGAAGCTCTAGCTATTTGTATTTCTGTTTCTAACTGTTTTTGTATATTGGACAGCTTACCGTGCATGTTCCTGGTATATATTTAATGTTTGTGTTTATAAGGGCGCCTACAACCCCATCCATTTACAGTCTGCTTTATTGTCCAACGAAACCGTTTGAAACCAGTCAAGGGTTCGGACCAGTCAAGGGTTCGGACCAGTCCAGGGTTCGGACCAGTCAAGGGTTCGGACCAGTCGATCTGATCTGATCAGTGGGTCACTTATTTAAACCATACTGGTAGGTGATTTGAGCTAACACATGAAGGATCTACTGGAAATTATCCACCCGAGTAATCTGTGATTTGATTGATACAAAAGTATAACTTGCGTGTTGAAGAGCCGGTGACTGCTGGCAACTCCTACAATGACGAACGGTCGACCTCCACCCTTGTTTATCAACGCTGTATCTAGCTTTTCTATTTTTTTTCCGTCTCCACCACAATAAATGCTATATTATCACTATAGTTGACTGGTGCAAATTTTGGAGGAAGGACGCTTTTTCTGTAGTAATAATTGCTTCTCGTTGTGTATATTGCGACCGCTGGTGTGTTTGCCTTTAAAATTTCATCTGAAGGGCGTTTACCCATGGTGGCTATGTTGAGTGTGTGTGTGTAGCTTATATATGGTTATTTTTTCATGTCCTTCAAGAAACAGACAGGCTGTTGTGCCTACGTTGGACGGCGTGTTGGTAGTACCAACAGCCTGACTGATCAGTAGAAGAGCATTCAGAATCCGGGTTTAATCAATAGGCGGGGAGAGACGTATAGGCAAATCTTCTAACACTTGCTGGACAGTTACCTAAAGTCAGTGCCGGATCAGCCGGGCTGTGGCTCGTACGTCGGACTGCGTGCGGCCAGCAGTAACAGCCTAGTTGATCAGGCCCTGATCTATCGGGAGGCCTGGTCGTGGACCGGGCCGCGGGGGCGTTGATCCCCGGAATAACCTCCAGGTAACCTCCAGGTAGTCATCATTGTGGATCACGTTCTAGAAGACAGAACCAACATTTCCTCATAAAAATAAGCAACATTTCTTGCCCTCTCGGATTATCTATCTAGGTCGTTAAACCTCAGGTGTTAATTATCCTAGATTTTCACGATAGAAGGTATAACAATACTGACAATATGAATAAAATAACACAAGTGTATACACTAAGAATATCTTTATTGGACACAATGTCGAAATTTTCATAATTCGGAAGTTAATTTTCCTAAATTATTAACCATCAGTTGTTAATTATCAAAATAAAGATTTCCTCCTCTACAAAAAGTGACACTTCATTGTTTCCTTAACCCAGGATATTCCTACAATTACTCAAGAGGTTTTAAAACCCTTTCTAGTTTTTATCGGCGAGTGCAGCATTCGGCATAGAGGTTCCGACTCTGTAAATTAAACCAACTCTCGGCTATTGTGGAAATTTATGTTTCCTGGACACGTCATTAGCATTAGTTTGTTGACGGTACATCTCTGGCTCTGTCTGTTTGATTACCGGACCACGGAGACATGTTTGACTCGCCTCAGCACTCTTCTTCACTTACTGGGTTATCCTGGGTTAGTTTAATAACTTTATTTTGCACACCATACCCATCCTGTGAGATGGGGAGGCAGGGGCAGTTCAAGTATTATAGCGGTTTATAATGGATCCAGAAATTTAGTTCCAAAATTTTGATAGCCTTTAATACCTTGGCTTCCTCCTACACTTGCTTGTCATTCTTTTCCGCCTACTCCTTTTCCACAACCTTCTCCTCCTCCTCTTGCTTCTCTCCCATCCTTTAGTTCCCTTTGCCCTTGCCCCTCGTGTTGCGGTGATGAGGGAACAATACCAGTGGTATCATCCCTGACCCACTACCATCTGTTGTGTCTAGTCAGAGGTAGATCACGAACACTCCCACGCTCCCCCTCTCTTCTCTATGTCTCCATTTCTCTCTTTATTTCTCTCTCTCTCTCTCTTCCCACCAGCAGCACCAAACAACTTTATTTCCTTCCCGCAGTATATAAAATGTAGTTGACCTGTAATAAAATAGTGTCAAGTACAAAATAAAGCCAGCAGCGTGCGGTGCACTTCGGGCCAACAAGGTGATCCTCCACCTTGTGGTTACAAAAGGTAATTACCAGCTCCACCGACCCTTCCTGTCCTCCCTCTACTGTGTCCTCTGCAACATGATTGTTTCCCTCATGTGAGCGCCGCTTCCAATGACAGTAATTGACATTGCTCTAGCTTCCCACACAATTCCATTCTCTTCCAGTGACCCAAAAGACATCGTTTTCTTTGATCATCGAAATAAAATGGAAATTTCAATTTCCTCGTAATTTCTGCGGCTTTTGCTTTCTTTTCCACTTCCTCTCATTATTATTTCTTCTTCCTTTTATCTTCTGTTACTTTCGACTTTTTTTTTTCTATATGCTAGCGATCTTCAAGTCATAAAATTTGGTAAATTAAGAAAAACAGAAATAATTATAAAACTATTAATAGTAAGCCTAAATAAATTTGACTTAATTCAGTTATTATCGAACGAGCTCAAACATTTTGACAATGGAACACACAAAAAAAGAGATTGTATATACCGACCTCCATCCTTAGGTCCTCTTCACTGTAATGAAAGTTTTCATTTAATCTTACATCCGTAGTAACCCAGGGCACGAGTAAAACCCATGGCAAGCCAGTACTAATGCCTGGTAAGCCACTCTTCTTACTACTAGTCTAAGAACAATCAATAAGGTTTTAGCATTTTACAATATTCCTGAGGGAGGGGGAGGATTTCGGGGGGTCAACGCCCCTGCGGCCCGGTCTGTGACCAGGCTTCGTGGTGGATCAGGGCCTGATCATCCGGGCTGTTACTGCTGGCCGCACGTAAACCGACGTACGAACCACAGCCCGGTTGGTCAAGTACTGATTTTAGATGCCTGTCCAAGGCCTTGAAGACAGCCAAGGGTCTATTGGCAATCCCCTTTATGTATGCTGGGAGACAGTTGAACAGTATTGGACCCCTAACACTTATTTTTTTGTCTCTTAGCGTACTCGTGGCGCCCCTGCTTTTCAATGGGAGCAGGTAAGATATAATATATTATTGATATAGTATTCTATGTCAACACGACTTAGGATAACTTAATAAAGTCAAAAAATGTAACTTGCTTGTTGATTATTGGTTAAAGCTATCGACACACGCCACCAGTCAAAAATATTTTAATAACTTGTAGGACTGTCAGCGTTACTTGTAGTGTTGTTAATGTTACTTGTAGAGTTGTTAATGTTACTTGTAGTGTTGTTAATGTTACTTGTAGTGTTGTTAATGTTACTTGTAGTGTTGTTAATGTTACTTGTAGTGTTGTTAATGTTACCTGTAGTGTGATTAATGTACTTAGTGTTGTAATGTTGCTTGTAGTGTTGTTAATGTTACTTGTAGTGTTGTTAATGTTACCTGTAGTGTTGTTAATGTTACTTGTAGTGTGTAATGTTGCTTGTGTGTTGTTACGTACTTAGTGTTGTCAACGTTACTTGTAGTGTTGTCAACGTTACTTGTAGTGTTGTCAACGTTACTTGTAGTGTTGTCAATGTTCCGTGGCAGTCCTTAATTATATTGTACTTAAGTTTATATTTAAATGTTATATTTAATCTTAATGTACATAATGTTACATCGTGTTCGAAGACATGTAATTATAAATATATGTTATCTACTTCCTGCAGGATCTTGCTACTTCTACACTGATTATTATCATTTGTAAAAGTCTACAACGAATTGCTTGATGTTAAACTGAATGCGTTTGTTTTGTGTGGTGCTTTGTTACTTACACTCAGTTTAAATGTTTATTATGCACCACATACCCATCCTTGGTGTAGTCAAAATGATTACAGAGGTACATCATGTGGTCAGACTGGCCAAAGTTTTGATAGCTGAGCAAGTACAAGTAAAATATACCTTTGTAACTCGTATGATTGTGACCAGATCTCCCTGAGTTCATACTCTACTCAGCACTGGCTGACATGTCATAATTCAGCAGACGACGTTTAAGAAAATGAGTCTTTAAACTGACAACGGATGGTAAAAAAATGATATGGCTAATTTTTACTGATGAGAGCGTTTCACCTAGAGCTCAAGCTTGGAAATCAAGGTTTCAAGCTTGGAGATCAAGGTTTCAAGCTTGGGAAATAGGTTTCAAGTTGGAGATCAAGGTTTCAAGCTTGGAGGATCAGGTTAAGGGTTGGAGATCAGGTTCAAGCTTGGAGATCAAGGTTACAAGTTGAATCAAGGTTTAAGCCTTTGAGATCAGGTTCAAGCTTGGAGATCAAGGTTTCAACTTGAGACAAGGTTTCATTAGCTTGGAATCAAGGTTTCAACGCTGGAGACAAGGTTTCAAGCTTGGAGATCAGGTTCAAGCTGGAGATCAACGGTTTCAAGTAGGAAATCAAGGTAAGCTTGGAGATCAAGCTTTACAAGCTTGGAGATCAAGGTTTCAAGCTGGAGATCAAGGTTTCATTGGGATCAAAGGTCAAGTCTTGGATAGTTTCAAGCTTGGAAATCATAGGTTTCAAGCTTGGAGATCAAGGTTTCAAGCTTGGAGATCAAGGTTTCAAGCTTGGAAATCAAGGTTTCAAGCTTGGAGATCAAGGTTCCAAGCTTGGAGATCAAGGCTCCAACCTTGTTAAATCAAGGTTTCAAGCTTGGAAATCAAGGTTTCAAGCTTGGAGATCAAGGTTCCAAGCTTGGAGATCAAGGCTCAAGCTTGGAGATCAAGTTTCTCAAGGCTTCCATTGTGTCTTCTCACTAGCTATGTAAGAAATTAAACAGTTTACTAAGCTGTTGGAGCTGGCCGCACGCATTCCAACGAAGGCGCCACAGCCTGACTGATGAGGAACTAACTTGAGGAATTTAACGTCTCTCTTGTGTTTTAAGTGTCAGTCCTAACGTCATTTGGTAATGTGTACCCTGGAAGGACTTGCACATATTTTGGGTCGGGGAGAATTCATCTCGCACAAATAATTTAAGATAACTAAAGCAGCAATCATAATTCCTTGTCATAATCTGCTGCTCTGAGGTAACAGGTCATCATACGTAGCGTGTTACAGTAGAAGTGAACGGTGGATCGATTTATTAGTCGTGTGAGGAGGGAATTTTTTTCCATAACTCCCCAAAAATATATATATATATATAATTTCTCAAGAGTTCAGCGCTTCGCATAAATCCTAATGCTGTAAAGGCTGATGGAAGACTTTATATCAGTGGCATGATATACCAACAAATATGTTAATAAAACACAATATGCGGTTTATGGCGTCTTATTGAGAAGACGTTCCGTCCACCAGTGACTTCCTCAATTCTCTCTGCTTGATGTAACTTTTGTGATGTAACTCTGCCAGGAGGGGTGATGATGCATGGCAAGTATTAAGACACCTCCATGCAAACCCTATAGGATACAGCAAAGCATTTCGTTGTTAATAATTTCTGAAATCTTGAGACTGTATCTACATTTTGCGTCAAATAGATAAAAGAATTGTGTTTGATTAGACTGCAACCCATTAATGACTAGTGATTCAGTAGTAATACGATACTTATATGTTTTTAAGATTGCATCTCCATATTGTATTGTGCCTATTATGAGCTATGAAGAATTAGCAACATATAAACTGAATATTGTCAGACCCTATAAACTGACTCTATCAGACTCTGGTAGGGTCTGACAAAGACCCGTTGTGACCTCTGTAATCCTGTTTTTTTGCGCTGTCGCTCACAGGATGAGCTGCGGGTGCACAACAAACTAGCCGCTCAGGCGGCACTACTAAACATTGTAAGTAGTTAAGCAAGTAAGTAACCCTATTTAGGTACGGCTACAGAATTTAAGACGATAACAATTGTCTTACATAGTAATGTATATGTAAATTACCGGTGATTACTCTCCCCCTCCCCCTCCCCCCCCCAAAAAAAAATGCACAGCATTCTAGTGGCTTTCTTTGTGCTCAATAATTTATTATATGTAAACTACATTTTGTATACTGAAGAAATAGTTTTTGTTTGTAAGTGTTTTGCGTTACCGGTCACGAGCTGCGGGTGCACAATAAACTAGCCACTTGGATGACAACTACAGTTCGTGTCATTCTTTGCCCCAGGAGTGGACCGGTTCCGTCAGTCACCGTGTCCAGTGGCTGGGGAGTACACAGGAGTGATCCCTGACGCTCCCTTGCTCTGTGCCAAGCTCTACTCTGACTGCAACAATCCGGAGATTATGTTTTACACCGTGTACTCCTGCACCAACCGCTCAGAGGTCATAGAAGGTCAGTCAGTATATATGGGATTTTATGCTTTAGTGAGTCGTGATTGTGAGGGTGTGAGTGTGTGAGTCATTGTGAGAGTGTCTCTGTGTTTCATATTGATGTTTTTATTTTTTTTTCATGAGTGCACATGTTCGGGTGTTTTATGTTTCCCTCATGAGTGTTTGTGTTTATGTGAGTGTCTTTATGAGAATATTTGCATGTTTATGAATGTGTGTGAATGTATCTAGGCCCACTAGATGCTTTGTTACTTAATATTTCTGTTTGTTCTCATGGACTGAGCTGATTGTTATATCTGACATTATTATTATTATTAGTAGTAGTAGTAGTAGTAATAATAATAATAACAATCCGAGTTGTTGCAGAGCGTGAGTATCGGTGTCTTGGACAGTGGAGTGAGACTGGAGTCACTTACACATACACCGAGCGCAGGGACCAGACCAACTACGAGTGCTTCGCTGGAGTGGTCGTCGACGAGGGTGAGATCTTCATCATGGAGGCCGGGGTCGACTGTCAGCGAGGTCTCCAGGTGCTCTCCAACGGCATGAAGCTGGTTAAGCAAGGTTAGTTGGCCTCCTAGGATTAATTGGTCTCCCAGGGTAAACTTGATCTCGTAGGGTTAGTTGGTCTCTAGGCTCCGTTATAAATTTATTTGCTACTAATAATAAGTTCTTAGCTAGTACACTCTTTTGTATGTGAGGTGCAGGAGCACATGGATTCACGAAAGGCCTAGGAACCAGGCTCAAAAGTATTAACAGGAGTACATATGGATATATATATGTCGTGCCGAATAGGTAAAATTGGTCAATTAGAAAGAGCTCATTTAAAATTAAGTAATTTTTAAAAATTTTCTCTTATACGTTTAAAGATATATGTTTCCATTTATGTTAATGTAAAAATTAATAATTTTGTACCAAAAGAACCTTAGAAAACTCAATATTTGCAACTGATTTAAGAGAGGACTTACTAGTGATGATCTTCCTGGGAGGAACTTTAAGTTACGTGATATTACATAAATGTAACTTTCACGGATGGGTGAAATGTTCTTATGTACATAGATATAGTTAATGCAAGTAAAATTATTTAACCTGGCACCTGTACCGCAGGTACAGGTGCCAGGTTCTTGGATCTGTAAGCTCACTCACACCATAAAAGCTTATTTATACACAATAAGAATAGTTAATGTGGTTTACGAACAATGTCTACCACAAACGACAACCGTAACTCGCATATATGACATTGTGTAACAGCGACATTTAACAAGATTTGCTGGTGACAGGTGTCTGGTTTATTTCTTAATATTTAAAAAAAAAAGCATTTGTAGCGTTAAGATGAATTATCTTATCACCGATATTACAAATACCAGGAGTCTTCCTCTTAAGAACCTTGGTAAATTAAGAGAACCAGCACTAATTCTGTTAATTTCATTTTACATTAGTTCCAATGGCTGTAGAGATTGTGTCTTCAGATAACACTAACTTGGACGCAGCATAATAAATTAGGGCTCTAATATCATCATTATTTTTGCAACATCATAGAGTTATAGTCAGCAACAACTTTGAGAGCACTTAGTCTATCTTTCTTTTAAGTTGTGTTATGGTGGGTTTACTGGAGGGTTCGTCTACACTAAGATATCTTGGAAGATTTAACGTAGCTGATGTGTTCACCCGGCAAACTTAATCTTAAACGGAGATATGAAAGTTCAAGTCAATTATGTGCTATTTGAGTTTTGTTAGGGATTTTACTCATTATCTTATATCATCAACATATCCTATAGCCCAGTTAATGATTTTACCACTTTTTCTGTACACTTCCGAGCAAATCTGAAACAAACTTGATTACCTCCCATTCCTCATACTCTGTGTGAACCCCCTGGGTACTACTACTACTATTGCTACTACTACTACTACTACTACTACCGCTACAGCTCCTGCTGCTGTTGCTGCTGCTGCTGATAATAATAATAATAATAATAATAATAATAATAATGAGCTAACCTACCTTGTACCTCCCCAGCACCGTGTCTGAACGACCCAGTGATCGCCTCGCGGCCCAGCCTACCCTCACCCACACAGCCCACCTGGTGGAACACCACCCGCAACCCATGGACCAAGAAGGCTTCCCCAGCCACGCCCAAACCCGGCCTCAAGAACACGGAAAAGGGCGGCGTATCTAAGAGCATCCCTCACACCCATCTCTTCGCTGTGGGTGTAATGTGGGCTGTGTCAGTGCACCAGTGGTGGGTGTAGATGTAGCGGTGTGTGTGTGTCTGTATGTGTGTGTATGTCTGTGTGTGTGTGTGTGCGTGCCTGTGTGAGTATGTGTATGTGAACCTGTGTGTGCGGGCCGCCACATCCGTCCCAATGAAAGCGCTTTACAATGAGGTTGTGGGTTTGGGGTCACACGCACTGCCAGCTTTATTGTACAGTGTATATGTATGTATCCACCAAAGTTATACTCAGTGTGTATCTACATATACACTCAAATTGCACCAAAAATTAATCTATGACTATTTATAAGGAATATTTTGTATATATAATAACAATATTTAGGATCGCTCGGTCCCTACCTTCACCTGAGTAATATAACCAGGGACCTAAGTTCCTACCCAGGTATATAAATAAATACACACACACACACACACACACACACACATATTATATTTATATATATTATATATATATATATATATATATTATATATATATATATATATATATATATATATATATATATATATATATATATGTCGTGCCGAATAGGCAGAACTTGCGATCTTGGCTTAAATAGCAACGCTCATCTTGCCATATAGGACAAGTGAAAATTTTTGTATGCAATAATTTCGCCAAAATCATTTTGAACCTAACGAAAAAAATACATTTCACTGTGTTTGTTTAGTATTAAATTATTGTAAACAAATCTAAAATATATTTAGTTGGGTTAGGCTAAAATAAATTGCGCTTGTTATAATAAGGTTAGGTAAGTTTTCTAAGTTCCTTTTGGTGCAAAATTATAAATTTTTACATCAACATTAATGAACAAAATATATCTTTAAACGTATAAGAGAAAATTTTAGAAAGGACTTAATTTTAAATGAGTTCTTGCTAATTGACCAGTTTTACATGTTCGGCACGACATATATATATATATATATATATATATATATATATATATATATATATATATATATATATATATATATATATATATATAATATATATATATATATATATATATATATAACTGTAGTTATTATATTAACTTTGCAAAGATAAAGCTTCACTGATCTCGGGTTTCTTAAGAACTTATCTATTTAACTTGTAAGAAGCCACTCTAGTCTGGCAACCATCGATGAAGAAGCAAAGATTTATTTATGTCTATTTTGTGTACTACTGCTAATGATAATATAATAATTATTATTATTATTTTCCTACTTACTCACTGCTCAATTAAATACGTAGATGTAGGGACCATGTTGAATTTGCACCGTGCTGCCTGTCTGTCTGCTTGTCTATTCCGGTTCATGCTTTCCTGTTTGTTGGCATGCCCAGGTATATGTAAGTATGTATGCCTGCCTGTTTGCATGCGTGCCTGTCTGTGTTTGCCTCTGTATGCATGAATGCCTATCTGTAAGCATACCTGTCTGCTTATTTTTTATGTTTGTACATACCTCTGCCAGTTTGTCTCTTCAAATACTCTAAGATTCGTCAAATGCGTATTAGCTGTGCAACTAATTCGGCTGATGTGCGTCTCTGGAGATATGCTCGTTACTATGCTCACCCGTTGGTCCTTTACCATGAGTGAGGTTTGCACTCTTTGACCCCAAAGGCTTTATGCAGTTTCCTGTCTTTCTTCTCCCTACCTTATTTTGAAAGCCTTTCCTTTGCCGGGGTTGAATTCCAATAGTAACTTGTCTGATCAATACTACCGTTCTTTCTGCAGGTCATTGTAGTATCTCCTAGTTAATTTTATATTATCTGTTCACATTTACCAGTAACAATACCAGTCCTTGTGGAATTTTCCTTGTTATTTTCAGTTTTGTTGTATCTTTCTGAACTTCTATTCTGTCTAACTGCGACTTTACCTGGTCTGTGTCCCAGATTTACATGACAGCGATCATTTTCATACGGTCCTTACTTCCCATTCATATTCTCGCCCTCCTCATAGCCCACGTTAGCAGTTTGAACAGGCGAATTGGGCCCTTTACTCGCATCAAACCGTTTTTATTGAAGAACCTTCTCCTTCATCCTCCCTAATGAGCTGTTACAACTCATTTCGACCTCGGTCTTTAACCGCAGCTTCACAAACAATCCCTCAAACCTCCTGTAGACTCTCTCTCAAATGAATGCCTTGGTGGTCTCCTACTTGTGCTCGTGCAGTGCGATTGAAACGTGCTGCCTGGGGCCTTTATCATTACAATAGGACGACGTATAATCCGTGAAGCAAAAGGCACTTGTTGGCAGGATTAAGTTTCTACCATCATTTCCACTTCCTCTATGAGCGCAGTTTAGAAAAAAGTACGGAAACTGAGAGGTAGGTATTCTCCAACCCCTGCTCATATTCTTAGGGTTGCCGGTGTCATCACTGCAAATCCTACTGAGGTTACCACAGTAATTGGAAATCATCTTGTCCATATCTCTCAGGGGCTCCATCTATCCCCGCTTCTTTCCTCCAAGTCTGTCAGAGAGTTTCTGCCTTTTGATTTTTCTGCTAGTAGAGAAGTCTTACAACGTGCCTTTTACGTTTCCAGAGCTTGAGTCAATACTTTCCGTTTGCCGATCGTCGGCAGCTGGACCTGATGGCATTCATATTAGTATGATCTAGCATTTACATCCGTCAGCTCTCGTAGTCCTCTTACGTCTTTTTAATCTGGTTTTGTCGCAAGGGGTTCTTCCCCATTCACAGAAAACTGCGGTTGTTCCGCCTTTTCCTAAACTGGTTACTTCGGGCCATGATGCCTCCCACTACCGACCCATTGCTCTTACTAGTACAATTTGCAAGTTGATGAAATATCTAGTAAATAGACGTTTAGTGTGGTATTCAGACACACAATAAGGATTTTATTTATTTTTTTTTTTGCATAGTTTACAATGTGTAATTACAATTTTGATTTGCTAAGTACAAAGAAAGCTACTAGCATGCCAGGGCATTTCTGGCAGACTAAACTCGTCAATTTGGCTTTTGTAAGGGCCTATCCATGATGGATCCCTTACTCCACTTAGACACCTATGTTCGTAATGCCTTTGCTAGTAACCACTCGGTTATCGTAGTCTTTTTTGATCTTGAAAAAACATATGACACTACTTGGAGATATAACATCTTGACCCAAGCTCATTCCTTAGGCCTCTGGAGTAATCTGTCACTTTTCTTTAAAACTTCTTGTCTGAGAGACATTCCGTGTTCAGTTTAATAATTTGCTTTCCCCGCACTTTGTCCAAGCTGAATGTGTCCCTCAGGGATGTGTCCTTAGCATCACTCTTTTTCCACTAGCTATTAATGACCTGACTTCTGTTCTCCCATCTAATATTTGGTCATCACTTTATACTGATGACTTTGCTATAGCTTGTGCAGGCGCTGACTGTCACCTAGTAGCAGCTTCTCTCCAGAATGCTGTCGACAGTGTTTTCCATTGGGCCATTACTCGTGGGTTTAAGCTTTCTGGTACTAAAATGCACCAGATTACTTTTACTAGACTTTCTATTGTCTCTAATACTCTGTTATACCTGTATGGTTCCCGGATCCCTGAACGTGATGCTGTCAGATTTCTCGGTCTTCTGTTTGATCACCAGCTGTCCTGGAAACCTCACATTACCTCCCTGAAAGCAACTTGCCATAGCCAGCTGCATCCTTAAAACCTTCGCTCATCTCTCTTGGGGGGACGGGTCGTCGAACTCTCCTTCGAGTGCACTCATCCCTAATTTTATCGAAACTAGATTATGGCAACTAGATTTATTCTGGGTTCTCTCCTGCATCTCTTTCTAAATTTGATCATCACATTCATCATCAAGGATTATTTGTGTGTCTAGGTGCTTTTTATTCCTCCCCTGTCGAGAGCCTAAATGCAGAGGCGAATATTCCATCTCTGAAGATCGACGTGATGCCCATAGCCTCCGATATTTTGTCCACTCTTATGACCTTCACGATCCTTCTACGTACAGGATAGTAACAGCCATTAGTAGAGATCCATTATTTGATCGCCGCCCCTGTTTACATCGTTACTTTTCTCTTCGTATTTACTCTTGGCATTACTGATTCACTGTCTCCCTGCATGAATCACTGACTGTTATATCACTGACTGTTACTGCTGACCTAGTATGATTTGAATGCCGCTCGCCCTCCAGGCACTCGGCAGTTCAGTTCAAGTAGAGGCGTTAGGTTGACGGCAGGTCAGGCTTGGCAGTTCCTCCCTAGTACCTATAAAAATAAGTTACCATCCATTCGAAGTCTGTGATTTTACCCAATTCCAGCATACGAACCTCCATATGACAATTTGGTGCACCTAACGTCTCTACTTGAATTGAACTACCGAGCGCCTGGAGGGCGAGCAGCATTCAAATCATACTAGGTCAGCAGTAATAGTCAGTGATATAACAGTCAGTGATTCGTGCAGGGAGGCGGTGAATCAGTAATGGTTGGTATGAGTCATTGACACTACTGGTAACTGATACTGAGAAAATACCCTTCTGAAGTTCAGCAACACGCAGTTTATCCGTCCCTCTACCTCCTGTGTGTGCGCCTATGGTCAAAACAGAAGCAAAGCAGAACGTGTCATACATGCAGACAGGTACAGTGGCTGGTTTAGCACGGTTTATTATCATTTTACTTAGATTACAGATAATAACATTAATTTATTATATAGGCATTCCAATAATCAACAATATTCACACAAGCTGTATTATTTTAACCAAATTTAAAAATAGCTTAGAGTAACACAACTACACAGCTACACGAAGTTAGTGTATTACATTATTTATGGGAAGTGCCACATCAGTAGGGGATCATACAGCACCTAAAGAATGGGAGGTAATCAGGTTTGATCGAAGGTAGATCTGCTTCCCTGGATTAATTGCAAAGGGAAAAACTTTATACTCATTCTATAGTCACAAAAAAACACCAATTAAAAGACAGATTAAATCAGTATAGTTTTAGTATTAAAAGAACGAAAACCAGATTAACACAGTATTACAGACTCGATGCTCAGAGGAAACATTTAGACTATATTTCGGTCTAAACAAAGCTTTATCAAGGGCTAAATGTAGTCTATACACTATAAATATATATATATATATATTATATATATATATATATATATATATATATATATATATAATATATATATTATATATATATATTATATATAATATATTATATATATATATATATATATATATATATATATATATATATATATATATATATATATATATATATATATATATATAAATTATATATATATATATATATAATATATATTAATATATATAATATATATATATTATATATTAATATATATATATATAATATATATATATATATATATATTATATATATATATTATATATATAATATATATATATATATATATTATATATATATATATATATATTAATATATTTATATATATATATATTATATAATAT